TTTAATGTTTGTGTGGTGGTGCTAGGGTCCACACTGAAATGTGTGAGCTTGTCCTGCCTCGTGCCTAGTATTCTACTGTATACAATGCTAGCTATGGGGCTGGGTTCCTCACTCCCACTTGGTTTCTTCTTAGCGATAATTTCTCCTTATTGCTTCAGATTGCCAGAGTTAGGATTGGGGCTGTCCCAGTTCCCTGCGTGACTCTCCTCGGGATTGTGATTTACCAGCAGATGCTTTGAAATCACATTTAGGTGTCAGGCTCCCATCCTGCATTAGCTGCATGAACAGATCCAGGCAATAATGTCCTTTGCATCAGCTGAGCTCAGTTCACCTGGCTTTAAATGTTCCCTCTTTTTCCTTTCACTGGTGTCTTGGCCTTGCTTCACTAATGCTGTGCCCTGTAATGGTGACCTGTCTAAGGTACTATATTTTCTCTAGCCTCCATTCCCTCAGGGTGGGTCCTACTGGAAGAGTCATGTGTGAGGGCCCTGAGAACTAGTGTTGAGAAGATGCCAATATAGCTATTGGAAACAGAGTGCTAGAGCTTTTAAAGGGGCCTCTGCTTTGTGGATGCATTTTATTATATATATTTATATATTTGGGGGGGGGAGGAGAAGGGTGCACATGTTGGAAATTGTAGATGCAAGATGTTCAGCTTCCTTTGTGACTCTGCAAATGGGAGAGTTAAAATGCCGAACTATTGATTTTCTGTATGCACCTCTGATTTATTGTAGAGGCAATAGGAGAGTACATGTAAACGCAGAATGCGGGCTGAGGTTCAGCTGAAAATCTGGCGCCAAGAGAGCAGCTCTGCTCTGCAACGTTGAGTGCCCTTCCAGAATGGCACTGTATTGTCCCGTACAAAAAGTGCCAAGAAATGGCTCAGGTTCACCCATCTGATCTATGGGGTGAAAGGTAGGAGAGGCAGGGCCTCGAGGGCATCTAACCCTTATTTTTCCCCCCTCACCACAGCCCTAGGATTTTATATAGGCGTCTGACTCTTCCTATTGGGACACCTCTCCTGTCGCGTGCACCTTTCCAGCCCTGGAATCCCTCCCTGGGATTTTAGCTTTGCAAAAGTTATAGTCATGTCGCTGTGCGTGTATAGAAAGCCAAGGTTACTTCCTTCTATACGCTGCTCTGAGGCCTTTTCCATGAGGTCCCCCCAACACACGTACATACTGTCTTTCGTGCCCTGGGCCGCCTTAGTCTCAGAGGGTTTCCATCAGGCCTGTAGCAGAGAGGCAGACCTTCCAGAATACCTGTAGCTGGACAGCTTCTGAAGCCTGGTCTCTGCTGTCTGGCAGTCTTCATCCATTATTGAGCCCTCTGGAATGCCTCTGAGCTGCGGAGGAGTTAATAGGCCTTCCTGCTCCCCTTGCTTCACTCCAGCAACTTATCCCTGCCACTTCCTCGGTTCAGAGCAGTGCACCACTGATGGCCCTGCCTGCTGGCATCCTGTGTGCAGTGTCCATTATTCTTCAGAAGGGAGAGGCCTCTGAGGCAGCCACGCGGGATCAGTTGTTTCTCAGTCTGTTTAGCTGTGATCAGGAGTGCTTATCAGTCATCAGTTTAATAGCTGATATATCCTCTGTTCAAGGGTCTGTATCTTGCCCTTTGCTGGACGGAATGCCTTTGAAGGATCTAATAGGCATCCTCTGTCTCTGACATCAGTGATTCATTAGGTTTTTAAATGTCAGATGTTCCAAGTAATTGAAAGAGTGCTGGACCCTCGCTAAGCAGGGTGGTAGATCGGCTTTAAAACTGAGGTGCATGTAGATACCAGGGAGAGCGGCTTAGAAATAAAAAAGGCAGGTGGAAAAGCTCAACTCAGACCCCCTGCACAATACAGCCTGCTTTTGTCTGTTTTCTTTGTTATGTGTAATCTCACTCCTCCGTATCCACATGCACTCAGCTTAACCTCTGTCTATGTGGCTCCACTGACGATTGTGTATATCAGGAATCTAATTCCTCACATGCACAGAGTCTTCTCTGATCACAGGTCCAGGTGCGGTGTTTGAAATGTCTTACTGGTTCTGAAAGTATGTAGGGCTAGCCTGCCAACGAAGCTCCTTTGCACTGGTCTTTCCCACATGATGTTAGCGGCTGAGGTGTCATGAACCACTAGTTAGGTGCATGTCTGATGCCAACTTTCCTCTGCTGTTGTAAAACATTCATTTCTAATCCTGATAGTTAGTGAGACCTCAGATCCTTTAAACGAGGTCAGTCTACACTGACCCCATTGGTCCGGCAGGGCATTGGCTCTTGAGTGACTATAGAAAGCCTTGCACCCTGAACTGGTGTAACTTTCACTCCCAGTGTTTCTATTAGTGGGCCTGGGCAAATATTTCACTGAATTCTGGGTCAGAGCAGGTGGATTTCCCCAAATCTGGGCCCATGGCTTATTTTCTGGCATCTGTCTGGAAAAGTGGGGCATGTTTCTGCTTATCTGGCAAAGGCTTTACCTCACTCAGCCCCTTTCTGGTTTCTGAATGAATCCCAAACCACCTGAAGCCACAGCTCAGTGGGGAGTGTTGTATCGCTCAGCAGTGCCACCTGCTGGCTGGTCAGGAGCAACAAGAACCAAACCCGGATGGGAGCTCTGCTCGACCTTCTGGGCTGGAGGACAGAAGTGATGAGCACTCAGTGCACAGAGAAGGCAAAGAGGAAAGGCACAGATTCTAGTCCTACCTCCTCCCATCTACTGGTGGGTTCTATATTTCATGACTAGGTTTCCCCAAGTCTACGACAAGAGGTCACACAAGGGGGGCAGCGTCGGACAGCAGCTATGTATAATGTTTATTATTTGTATTACAGTAGCATCTAGAGGCCTTAGCAGAGATCAGGGCCGCATTGTTCTAGGTGCTGCACATACACACGTATGGGGCAAGACAGTCTAAACAGACAAGAGGGACAAAGAGTAGGAAGCGGGGATGATAATCCTTCCTAGTTGTGCCTCAGTTCCCCATCTGTCAGAGAGATTAAATGACTCGGCCAGGGTCATACAAGGAGTCTGTGGCAGAGCAGGGTATTGAATCCAGATCTCCAAAATCCCACTCTGGGCCTCACCCACAAAGCCAGCCTTCCTCTGTGGAGCTGGAAGGATCCCAGTACTGTACTGCAGGAAGTGGTCACAATAAGACTGCTGAAAATGCCTTAAACTATCCCCCTCGTTCTTTCTTAGTGGCTAGAGCATGGTAACGTGCCTTGTGTGTGGGACCTGGGCACTCTTGATTCAGTGTTTGAGCTTGGATTCTGTGCCTCCCATCTGTAAAATGAGACCAATTATACCCCCAGCAGAGCACTTTGTGTGTTAGATGGAAAGTGCCAAGTGCAATATTTGCTTGTGGGAAGCTTGGTTTATTTCAGCTCATAGCACTCCTGTTGAAGGTCGTGGTTCTTTCTTCCTCTTTCCCTTTCGATATCTTGTTGCCAATGCGTCTGTCGTTTTTTTTTTTTTTTTCTCCCCTTCCCCCCCCTCCCCCCTTGCAGTTTACCTGCCAAGCTGATCAATGGAGGGATAGCTGGGCTGATTGGAGTCACCTGTGTATTTCCCATTGACTTGGCGAAAACTCGCCTGCAGAACCAGCAAAATGGCCAGCGGATGTACACCAGCATGTAAGTACTGCCTCGCCCAAACTGGCTCAGCTGGGACCTCCTGATCTGGCTGGGTGGGATTCTCAACTTTCCCTCCCTCCAACACACACTTATGGTGACATCAGCATTTCTAGGAGTTTAACTCTCCTAAAATCAGCCATCAAAAGGAGCTGTATTTTAAAAAAAAAAATAAACTAGCCCAGGCTGAAACCCCACAGATGAAGTCCCTGCTGGGCGTATTTTTACTTGTGTGTCTTGCATTATATTAATTTTTTCACCCCTAGCAGCAGTGCATTCTGTTGCACCAGAGCTGCGAGTAAGGCTGGGGTTATGGTCAAGACATTGGCCTGTAAATCAAGAGCTGGGTTCAATTCTCTGCTCTGCTACAGACTGCCCTCGTGAAATTGCCATTTAATCTTCCCCTGCCTTGGTTTCCCAGCTGTAAAATAGGGATAACAATATCTCCTTTGCTTCATCTAGTCTCATTACAAGCTCTTTGCGACAGAGGCTGCCTGTTATTGTGTGTGTGTGTGTCGCGCCTAGCACAGTGGGGTTCTGAACGCACACAGGTGTCTTATTTGTTCAGCCTTGAAATAAACAGAGAGTGACGTTTAATCAACCAGTAACACATTTACACCTGCCACTATCTAATGCTTTGGGTGTCCGTGCCAGTCTGACTTACTGGGAAGGGGTCATGAAGCTGTGGATGGGATAGTATTGTCCCTTGTTAATACTGGCTTGTTGCACAGAGGGTTTACGGTTTTCCAAGTTCTTTCAAGATCGCTCTGAAGGTGACCCTTCTCAGTTCCTAGAGATCCACTCAGTGGAAGTTTGGGGTCTAGCTCTGCTCCTGCTGAAATCAGTGACCAAATAGCCATTGATTTCAGTGGCAGCAGGAGACAGTGCATTATTCTTAACAGGAAGCCTGGGAGGCTTTTTGGATTCAGGTCACTGTGTGTGTGGATCTTGTTTCCCCAATAACACAAGATATGACCGAGCCATGCAGTTTTTGCTTGCAAAGCCTGGGACTGGTATAAATAAGTGCATATAGGTCTGATCCAAAGTCCACTGTAGACAATGGGATTCTTTCCATTGACTTCATTAGGCCGCTCTTTATTTCCCTTCCTTGAGCAGATCTGATCACTGAAACATGTTGCGCTATTGTTTTTGGGCTCCCGTCTGGTTAACGAGCAGCTCCTCCAATTAACATTTTTCCCTTTTGAATTTGTAGATAGCAAATTTGTTTTCTGTGTACGGGGTGAACCAGTATTTCAAAGCCCCTGTGCGCCAAGGACAGGCGTGCTACTGGGGCTCTCACAATGGTGGTGTCCATGGCTAACGCTGTTCTCCTCTCTGCCTGGACTTTGGCTGACAAACTGTAAATGCAAATCGCTTGATTAGATTCCTCCCTCTCCACCTTTGAACTCCTGAGGTTTTCTCTGTGTCTCTTGTTTGCAGGTCTGACTGCCTCATTAAGACAATCCGCTCGGAAGGTTACTTCGGCATGTACAGAGGTAAGGGCTGGAGGCAGAGCAGAAGTGCAGCATCTGACTCATCCGTCCTAGCCTGAAACGCTGTTGTGACCACAGGTGAAATAAAAACAAAGCCACTTTCCTCTCTTTATGGAGTAAGGTATTAGGGGTGCCCTGAACTGGTTGAAAAACCTTGAAAAAGTCTCACCTAAAAACCGGGGGCTCAATATACAGAAACACAGGACTTGCCAGGCTGGCTAGACCCCCTGCTTCACCCAGTCCAGTACCCTGTCTGTGTCAGTGGCCAGTGCCAAATGCTTCAGCGGACGGTGCAGGGAGTTATGGGGTACTATGTCTGCAGGGAAAATTCCTCCTAATGCCCATAAACTGAGAGGTTGGTTCATGTCCAGAAACAAGTGGGTTTATATCCCTTCCTAAGCCCTTGTTTTGTTATAGTTACTATTATAACTACTGGCTAGTCTCATTGTCCATACAAGTAATACCTAGCTCTCATGTAATGCTTTCAATCAATAGGTCTCAGAGCATTTTATAAAGGAAGTGAGTATGTCCCAATCTTCTCTTGGCCTCAATAATTGGCAATGAGTTCCACAAGCAGATCATCTCTAGAGAGAACTCCATTGACAAAGGTTACCTCTTTGTTTTATACATAAAACTTGGGGATTTTCTGGCAGATTGAGACAGGTATGGCAGTTTCCTGAAGTTCCCAAATAAGGTCTTCCAAGGATAAAGTTTATGTATTATTATGGGCCTGGAGGGTATGTAGGGTGACCAGATGTCCCGATTTTATAGGGACAGTCCCGATTTTGGGGTCTCTTTCTTATGAGCTCCTATTGCCCCCCCACCCCTGTCCTGATTTTTCACACTTGCTGTCTGGTTACCTGAGGGGGGGGGGAGAGTGCAGGAGGAGAGACATGGGACCTGGGAGTTCAAAAGACCATACTGAAAATGTGCTGGATAAGTATGGACTTTTGGGACTATAAGCGTTTAGGGATTCCTCAGGAAATCCACTTGGGAGAGGTTAATGCAAATTCCCAAACTCCGGTTAGGCAAAAACCCAGCCCGGAGGAGAGAACATTGTCTGTCTGCTGATTACCTCTTACAGAAGGCCAAGAACAAAGGCCTGAGCTGTATAAAGAAATGGCTGATCTGCCCAGCTATGGTTCTGGTTCTGGATTTAAGACGGATGAACTTGTAACTGCGGGGGAAACCTAGTTTGGGGGTTTGAAGGACTAAAATCTACCAGAGCCCTAGGTTGGAGCTGGGGGTGACATCTGGTAAGCTTTTTAGCATGTGTTATAAACTGGCTATGAACAAATTCAGGCTGGAAATGAGTTTCTTTCAGAGGGGTCAGGTTGTGGAAGAGCCTCCCACTTAGGCGTTGTGGGGCCAAACCACTTACTTTGTTTTAACAGAAAGCTGGACAAATTTGGCAGTGGGATTATGTGCTGGGGTTGCTTGTGATGAGAGGGGCAAGATTCAGCGGCCTTCCAGTTTCTTATGTTCCTAAAGCTCATGATTACGGGCTTCAGCTGGTCACCTGCAGGGGTCAGGAAGGGAGTGTGTGTGTGTGTGTGTGTGTGTGTGTGTGTGTGTGTGTGTGTGGTCGGTCTCCTTCCTCTGAAGCATCAGGGATTGTCATTGCTAGAGGTGGGACACTGGACAGGGTGGGTCAGTGATCTGACATGGCACCCAGGATTCTCTCTCTCTCTCAGGTGCTAGCTGGCTGGGTGTTTTGTTTGCCCACATGCTCAGGGTCTAACTGATTGATTGCCATAGGTGGGGTCAGGAAGGAATTCCCCCCTCCCCGGGGTCAGATTGGCAGTGATCTGGAGGGGTGAGGGGAGGGTGGGGTTTCACCTTCCTCTGCAGCATGGCATGCAGGTCACTTGCTGGGATTATCTGGGTGCATCTCAATCAATTCCCTGCCATTGGACATTGGTGCACCTCAGTCCCTTTTGTTCTCCACCTGTGGCACATAATAGCTTAGTCTCCTGTGCGTGATAATACTTTGCTCTAATTCTGGTTGTGGGATTGGTGGCCTGTGATGTACAGGAACTCAGACTAGGTGATCTGGTGGTCCTGTCTGGTCTTAAACTCTATAACTGTGGTATCTAGCTGCAAGTATATGGTGCTATATAAATACCTCAAATATTTTCAGTCATCATAGTATCTATTCACTGCTACAGATAAAGAACAGGTTCTCAGATTACTTGATTAAATGAATCCTCGCTCCCTTCGTTAATGGGACTCCAGAGATCTTTGAGTTTTGCGGCTCCCGGGCATGCTATATCTTGCCAGTTCTTTGTTAGGTTACCAGGGAAACAGGAATACTGTGGTTTGATATAATGGGAACAGCGGATTGGCTGCTGAGAGCAGCCTTCTCTGGCCCAGGTTGTTGATGGGAGGAAAAGGGGGCGGCGGGGTGGATTCTGGTTACGGATTGGCTGATTTGTGGTGGTGGCTTTGGGAGCAGTGCCTGGACAGGGAGGCCGTTAACCTAACAGAATCTTAGCAAATTTGATCTTAAAGAAATATTCCAAAGCGAATGACATTCAGATCTCCAAGGGCTGGATTTCTAGGGTGCTTTGTATCCTTGGTAAATACATTGCAGCAAATGGGGTGATGTCAGAGCTAACTGGATCCAGCTCTACCAAAGTTGTGTAGTATTATTGATTATGATTTTTTTTTATCAGATGTAAAAACACGCAGAAGTCGTCGTCATCCTATCAAAACCATGCAGAAACATACAGGCCCAAACTCGCCCCCGGTTCTAGCCTGGATTTGGCCACTGCTAGGCATGCTCTAGGCCCCTGGTGGCAGAGGGTTCACTGGTTGGAAGTAGCTGCGGCTTCCCCTCTATTACAGGTTTGCATGGGAGCAATGTGGCCATGGATGGAGCATGGTCAGTGCAGCTAGGGGCTCAGCTCTGCCTCTGTTAAGGGAAGAATTCAACCTGAGTGGAAACAACTGAAAGAGGGCAAGGAGTGTCAAATAGCTTTATATTCCCCTGCACCATCTTAGAGCAATCTAGCCCCTGGTTCCAAACCCAAAATGCCCTACTAACCCCCTCCTGTGTGTGTAGGAGCAGCCAGCACAGGAGGTGGACTCCTGTTACTCCCAATCTGAGTTATATCTGAGCCAGTGATCTAGGGGTGAAAGGCTCCGTATCCTCTCCTTACCAATCCCTAAATTGTCCAGCCTGCCACATCCGGCTGTGATCAAAAGCATAGTGTTTACTGCTGGTATCTCTCAGTCCCTGGCTGAGAGGCAGGGTCCTATGTAGGAGAAAAACAGGAGCTGCATGTTGACAAGGAGCTCTGACAGATGGCTTTGTTGACTTGAACAATGCTTCAGTCCAGTTCTACCAACAGGACAAATATCATTACGGAAGTGTCTGGGCTGCATTCCTGCTGCAGTTGTTTCCTGGGTGACTTTGGGCAAGTCACCGGGGCCTGGCCTGCATCTAAAACATAGGTTGACCTAGCTACATCATTCAGGGCTGTGAAAAATGTCACACCCTGTGTGACGCAGGTTGACCTGTCCCCTAGTGCAGATGCAGCTGGTTCGACGGAAGAATTCTTCCTTCTGCTACTGCCTCTCGGACGGGCGGATTAACTATAGTGATGGAAAAACCACTTCTGCAAGAGGCATCTACACTACAGCGGCACAGCTGTACTGCCGCTGCTGTGATGTATGTACCCTAAGTGTCTCTGTGCTTCTGTTCCCCATCTGTAATACAGGGGTAATAGCACTGCACTCTACCACACAGGGGCACTGGGAGGATAAGTGCATTGAAGATTGTGACATATGGGGGGGGCATAAAAGTACCGAAGATAGCTAGAGAGGTAAGAGGAGCCTTTATTAGCAGAGCAGTTTCCATGTGATCTATCACAGGTCAGATGTGCTCTGTGCACTTCTCTGACCCAGAAGTAACTGTGTAACCTGTTACAAGGAGAACCCAACATTTTGTTAAGGGGTCCAATGGGCTGATCCAACCCTATTGATTTTGTTTGTTACACATGTCCTTCACTCTAACAAAAAGGAAGATAGAGTGAGTGTGAGCAAGTGGAATCCTAACACGTGGCCGCCTTTGGGTCCCAATAGAATTCCTGGCAGCCAGTCCGATTAGCCCGTGATTGCCAAGGGACTAACAGAGCAAAGCTGCGCCTCCCAGCTGCTCTGTTCCTGAGTCACTTTGGACTTTGAGCACGATGCTGTCGCTGTGCCAAGCTGTCTCCAAATTGCAGCATGACAATAGTGCTTCAGTCCTCCGCACACAAACTGGACAGCCTTCTGGGACTCCTGCTAAGAATACCCTCCACGTTGTCCCCGGGCTCACACGATACCTGCCAAAACTATTCCGGGCTGCTGAGGTCATGTCCAAAAAACTTTGCCTTAACGTATGCTATTTATATTCTTGGTGGCTATTTTTATATTGCTCACCCTCTGCCCTCTCCTTTCCCAAGGAGAATGAGGCAGAGGTGTGCATGTATGGCAACACCCCAGTCTCCTCTGACCTCCCTGGTCACCCAGCTGCACATAATGTATTGGTTCTGCAGTACCAAGCTGGTTTGAGTTTATTTTTTACCCTTAATTGTCCTTGCTGGAAGGTCTCCAGATGTTCCACTTCATCCAAGATCTCTCACCTTGTTGCATTCACATCACATCTGCATGCAACAGAATCGGACTTCCCAAAATCTGAAACCCTGCAAGCTGAATCCAAAGCAAGGCCGCTCCAGTATAACATGTCTACCCAAATAACACTGCTGGTGTGAAAGCTGAGCTGGATTTACATACCTCTTGTTAAGTTCTGTTTCTTTCTGGTCATAAAAGATCAGGTATGTAACTACTGAGTCACGGTCATGTGGGCGTTAAGACTGTTGTCGGAATCTCAGCTGTTCAGAGGTTTACAGTATTAATTTTTAACTCTGGCAGTTCACGGGCGCTCAGACTGAAATACCCATCGTTCCAATTACCATCGTGCTTTCTTGTGTGTCACTTCACTTGGGATTTGATTTTAATGGCCACTGTCTC